TATCATTTGCTCTCATTCAGGGCATTCTGTTTCAGCTATTGTCTGACAGTGACTTATACTGATTTTCAAAACTTGTTTAGGTAAAGACTACTAGCATATTTTAATAAAGTACAAACATGTTGCTGTTTAACTTTATTACTCATTTTTCATTTTAGAAAGGAATTAGATGACATTTTTCTGGGAAAGTGGTTTATGTGGAATTTCAGAGCCCCAAGCCTGCCCAGTCTATCTGGAGCACATGTTATCTGTCACAGCCTATGGACTTTGTAGGCAGCGTAGCTCTGGGTAAGTCCCAGGAGGAATGAAGAGAAGGCAAGGATGAAGCATAGGGAGACCATGCTATAGTGAAAATGTAGACTGGCACAGTGGCTGATGGCTCATGGTGGCCTGTAATCCCAGCACTTTGGGAGGCAGAGATGGGAGGATCACTTGAGCCCAGGTGTTTGTGAGACCAGCTTGGGCAACATAGTGAAACCCTCATCTCTACATTAAAAAAAAAAAAAAAAAAGTTGATCCTGGGAGACACTTAAGTCTTGGGAGTTTGATTGAAGTAGACGTTTGATTGGATCTGGAAGTTGAGGATGGCAGCAGTTAGTCCCGAGCAGGCCAGGCTGACCCTACAGTCAGGAAATGAAGTTTGCTAACATAGTCTTCCTTCCCATTTTCTGCTTTCATGATTTTTTCATCGTCCCTTTCCTTCCTCTTCTCCAGGACTTCCATCTTGGAGGAGCAGGAATATGGTTTATCATTTGAGAGTGGTACAAGTCAGCAAACACAGAATATCTGTTCTTCTGGCGCTGTATTCCGGGAGAAAGCCATAGACTCTTCCTCTTAGGGAGCTGAGATAGGATAGCAGGGAGGCAGGAAGGTAGACATACACATGTATTCTGAGTGCCACGGTGGACGCCTGCATGTGGGATTGTTGATACAGCAAGAGAGGGAGTGGGAGTTCTCTTGGGGGGGTCTTGAGCTGAGCTTGGAAAGAGGAGTTGGTGTTTTGCTGTATCTTATTCCTGTTTAGGACAGGAAGACTAATTTTGTCCTGGTACCTGGTAGATAGAACTATGAAGTTATCTTAGAAATGTAAATAGGTAATGATACTTATTTCAGATGTAAGAGAAGTGTCCCAGAGTTGAGGCATTAGAGTTCATCCCTAGTGGCGATAACTTTGGGTGTTTTGAGAAATCGGAGGTCTTCCCTTCTCTTTTACCCTCCTCTTATTCACACTAACTGCCACATGATAGTACGTGTGCCTGGTCACTTGATGTTGCTGAGGTCCACGTGCTACAATCTAGGCTTCACTCTGATAGGTCTTAGCGATATCTGTATGTATCTCTACCCCCGCTACTTACTGGAAAATGCGTTGAGTTCTTTGAACTGCAATGCTTTAGATGTGGCAGGTGGTCAGCAACTATCTCCTGAATTGAATGTTTGTTTTAAAGTGATTCTTACTAGCAGCACATCTATCATAAAGGAAAATTTTGGGACAGTAATCCGAATGACTCAACCACCCGGTGATTTGAGTATCCTGCATTTGCTCAGGGCTGTGATGGTGCAGTAGAGAAAGAGAATATAGGGCCTGATCGTCAGGCTGCTGGAGGGTTGAGTTTTGGATATTCCAATGGGTTGCAAAAAGGTACTGTGCTTTCCTGGGATCTTTCAAATTGTAATCAGCCTTTTATGTGCCTGTCTGACCCTTGATGTTAGGATTGTTTGAACTGATATTTTTTGAACATTTTCTCAAGTTTATTGGATGTGGGGGGCAGCAAGTCAGGCTCACCTCATTGCCTTGTAGCCATCATTTACACTTGATCTTAGCCAAAAGGCCAAGAAGTGATTTAGCCGTCATTTAATAATGAGCTCCTAAATATGACTCAGCCGATCCGTTCCATGTTGTTCTGTGAGGTAGACGAGGTCTGACAGTTGTGAAGCGGCTTGTGCAATGTCTCTTAGATGTTGCTTTCCAGTTCTTGTCGAATGTGGGTTCCCCTCTACCAGAGGAGGCTGGTTGCTGGAAAACACATGAAAACATGCACTTTGCTGTTTTGTTGTCTTTCCTTTCTTTCTCTCTCTTCTCATGGCATGCTTTGAAACAGATTAGAGTTGTGTTTGGCTTCAAATTGCTGCAGTTGCCCATCAAGGTAGTGCCATGGTGTAGGGTTAGCAGGGGTGCTGTTGCAGAGAAGACAGTGAGTCTGGTGCTCAAATGCAATGTGACTGAGTGCCCCTGAAGCTAGGTGCCCACCTTCTTACAGGCAAGGGCTGTCTGTCAGCCTACACACAACAGCCAACACACATTGACTGCAGGTTTGAAAGTGCTATGTGAAGCTTTTGTTTAGAATTCTCACTTGGGCCATTCATTGTGGTATTACTGGAAAAAAAAAAACCTGAAGGAAAAACATAAAAAAGCATGGCATACACAAATCCATCATCTGACATCAGGAAGGTTATGGGGAGTCAGGACCAAGCAAAGATTCTTAGATATGGTAATTAGAAATCACCCCATTCTTTCATTCATTCATCATAATGTACTGCCCTGTCAGAATCACCTAGGGAGCTTTTTTCAGAGTATGCTGGGTACTGCATCCCTGAGGCATGTGTGTTCTGCAAGAATAGTAGTATCTTTTGAGCAAGATTTTGGGGTTGTCAAGATGGTACATAGAGGCATATTGCTTCTTGACTGCTGAGTAGGGTAGTGCTCTGATTTTACTGTTCATGGCAAGAACAATGATTTGGCTCTTGGTTGAATTTCTAAAAATTTAAAATTAGTCTTTCCTAGTTCCTTTATTATGTGGAAACATTAAAAACAGAAAAATCTGACGATTACGTTCCAGTTTTATTAGCATTATTACTTATCTTCAGACTGTCCTTTGTCAGACCCTCGGGCAGGGTATTGGGCTCATTCAGGGAACTTTTAAAGTTATTTGTATACGAAACATTGCATAGCTATGTCATTATTTAAATACTACGCCACAAAGCATAGCATTGATAACAGAAGAGAGAAGCATGCAAAATATTTCACAGGGATAAGCATGGAGATGAGTAGGTTCACTCTGAGCAAGTTAATGACTAAGGCAGGGAAGGAGAGTGACCTCTCCTTGAAGGCATTTTTGTCTAGTTGTGCTTCGCTGGATATTACCACAGTATGGCTTTCATGGTGAGGATTTAGTTCTACTTTGGAAATATTACATGTCTTCCTGTGTACGGGGCTGTGATTGGAAGCAAGTTTTCATCCTTCGATTATTTCTGAAGCTATTAAACTATAGCAATAGTTGGTTAACTGTAAGAATTTTATTAATAGTTATGATTTTAAAATGAACTTGATCTTTATAGATTATGAAAAGAAATTGAGACACTGTCTTCCATCTAAAAGAAGAAAAGTAGAACTAATTAGATCATTTGGCTAAGGCAGGAATAACTGCACCTGAGAAATACTTGTAGAAAATAATAGGCCAGTAAGCCCAGCTGGGAGGAGAGGAATGAGGAGATTGAATTGGTATGATTCGGATCCTAGGAGTAAACTGAGGATCAGAGTAGGGGTAGAGCTATCTTGCCTTACTTTTTCCTCCTTTCTGCAGATGAGGGTAGCTACATTTTCTTTGAGCAGATGGTTGAACTTTAGATTGAGGAGCTTTAACCTTACCAATTTTTCAGAAAAATGAATCTGCATATATAAATACCTCCATATCCTACCTTTTGTTGGCAGGCATATTCATATTACGTGTGTGTGTGTGTGTGTGTGTATGTATGTGTGTGATGAGTTGAGGAAGGTTGACTCTCTTGTTTGGAATGGACACACCCCCACCCCCACACCTACACCACCCACACCCCTTTTCTGGGTATATTTGTGATGTAAGCAAGGAATTAAGAACTGGTAAGAAGTGGCGAAAATATACATTGAGTGATCGTCATGTAGTTATGCTAAAATTTTATCTTCCCATTTCAGTTGGAATAATTTCATTAGCAGTGCCTTAAGCAACAGGATATATGATTGAATTTTCTTTTAGTGAATTGCCTAGTTACATCGGATCCAATTAAGTTTTGCATATGTTATCAGTAGCATTAAATGAAACCAAGTGTTGTGTTAAGTACAATTAGTTAAGTTACTTTAGTAAGAAATAACTTGTACTAAATATATATTGAGCTAGTAACTACAGCAAATAGAGCTCTTCCAAAGTATAGTTTATATGTAAAACATGGAATGATTATTCAGATTTATTGTTAATATCCATACATTTTCTCATTAAAATGCCTATACAATTTAGTATTTATATAGGATATTATGGGATTGTTGTTTTAAAATTTCTTAGCAAGGCCATAGTAAAAATAACTATGGAACTAGAAATGAGTATTTCTGTTCTTTAAGGGTGAAAACTTTTTATTATAATCAAGATTTTTAAAGTCACATAATTATGAAATGAATAAAAACTTTTTTTAAGGCTGATAATCTTTTGCTTAAAGTCTGTTTGAAAATTACAGTGTTTTTAGTAACATTTGGTGAAAATATAAGTGTTGGTGTAATAATTTTATGTTCTGTTCTGCTTGTCAATAAAAATATTTTAAAATTTAAAAAGAGAGCAACCCAGATTTTCTTAAAAACAAAAGCCAAAATCAACCAACCACAAAACAAAAAACATACAACCAAAAACAACCCTAGAGTGCTGCAGTGCTATGAGAGCTGGCAGAGGGTCTCTAGGTTGTGACTAGCTATCTTGTTGCTGAGCAGTTTACCTAACTTGGGCCTTTGTTCCCTAATTTGTAAAATATGGTTGGCACGATGAGTTGTGACATTGAAATTGGTAATTTGTAAGCATATTTTTCTTCCGTTCGTTGTCTAAGGGATATGATTCTGTGATTGGCTTTCTAATCTCTACTCAGTTCATCTAAGTGGAGTTTCGTGTTGAATTTCTTTTATGTGATATTATTTAGGAATAGATATCCTTAGGCTACTAGCTGAAAAATTATAAACCTAAAATTTTTATTTGTGTTTAAAATTTTAGGTATGCTATACCTCCAGAGCATGGAAAACGACTTGAAAGACTAGCTCAAGGTAAAACTTGCTTTCTTTGTTTTCTGTGTTTTATATGTTTCTGTGTTTTGTAGGTTGTTTGTTTTTGAGGTACTTTTTACAATATAGACCGTTACTCTGTTGGTTTTATTCTATTCAAGTTGTTGACTTCTACATGTTTTTTTTTTTAATTGAACAATTTTAAATTTTTTCACGTTAGTTTGTGAATATTATTTTTTCCCTGTTGCATAATCATCATGGTTATTTTGGTTGACTGTTTAGTATTTCATCAAGTGATTGCCCTTAATCTGTTTTGGTTGTTTCTGAAAAAATGGTTTTTAATGTAATGTATTTGACATCATTGTGCCAGTAATTTTTTTTTAAATTAAGTTACATTCTTCCAGACAGTATTGTTGCTGCATCTTGGGGTACGGTTGTTTCATGACTACTTTTTCTTTTGATCTACTGTTTCCCCCAAGGGTTATGTCACTGCCGACACCCAGTTCTTCCGTGGCCCACTGGGACTGGGAGTGTGCCCTTACGGAAGTATGAAGGTGAATGGCTCTGAGTAACAATACACGAGATTTTGGGCCTTTTTGGACTGGCAAAATTAAACTTACTTTACTGCAGGTTGAATTTTTATTTTTCATGGCCTGCTGCTTCTTTATAAGGGCCAGACTAAAGAACTTTTCTGGACCTATATTGATGGTCCTGTGCCTGCTTTGGTGTGTGCAGACAATGCCAGTGCAAGCAGCCACCTTCCTCCTTCCTCCTTGTTTTTAAAGATACGCCAGGCAATCTTGCCCTCATCTGCTTATGTATGGGAAGCAGAGTCACATTCACCCCCTGCCATCCTTATTTTCTGTTTCGCTAGCCACCCTTCCCGAAAGAAGATGCAGGCTGGTAGTGAATTATTTCCAGGGAAAAGTGGAGTTCCATTTGAGTGGCAACTGAGGAGCAAGGCCTTCTGCCTTTATCCAGGATTGAGTCCTCAGCGAGCAGTGCTCTTTTAGTCCAGTGCAGGTCTAAGTTTCATTGGTGCGTTAGATTTGCCTTTTATTAGGAAAAGAATTTTGTTCCTGCCTTATATGTGCTTTCAATTAATAATGAAATGGAGACACTGAGAAACCTCATTCCTTGACTTGACAGTTTTTAACAGAAACTGTTAATGGCACCTAAAGGTTACTTTCCCCTAAATTACAGAAGAGTATTAGAAGGAACAGTTATAGTATTGCATTTTAAGAAGCATTATTATAATTTTGTCAGGCTAATAACTATAAAGCGTCTTTTTAGAAATGTAATACATTATAGTAATAATAAAGATTGATGTAATCTTGAACTTTGTTAGGGACTGTTTTCATGAATAGATTTTGGATAATAGATTATAAGATGATTACCATAACCCTTAACTACATAGGCAGTGAACTATGTGTTAACACTATATACTCAAGTATCTTCTTCTGTAGTAAAATTATTCCACCATTTTCTATTAATCTTCCTACCAGAGAACTTTTAAAATGAAGCCGATGTAAACCTTGCAATATTGAGTCACAGATTAAAATTTCTGATACAAACTTCTAATGCTTTGAAGTAAACTGTCTGAAAATGACATTCCAGAAAATGGTTACCGTTTGTTTAATCAGTAAGAGGTTAATGAATTTGAAGGATGAACAAGAACTTGAAATCAATTGGCTGTTTATTCAAAACTGTTTTGCAGCAATATTTTGGGAAGTAAAGCAGGGAAAAGACCCTACGAGATAGTGAAGGATTTGTATCTGCTGACCAGATGCCAGCCAAATTAATTGAATTCTGCTAAATAATTAAAATGATAAATAATGCTGTGTGAATGATGGAGTATTATAGAATATCTAGCTCATAGCAACACTTGATACATAAAATGAAAAGTAGGCTCAGATATTTTCCATTATCTTGTCTGTGCATCATAATTATCACACTTGCCTTTTATGCGTGAATGCTTTCATCTTTGGTTTCTATTGAAATCTTGATTGACTGTGGCACCTACAAATATTTTATCTGAAAGACATCAGGCCTGCATCTAATAAAGCCAGGAGTTTGATTTTGCCCTTCAGCTGCTTTCTCATTTATACAGGTTTTCCCCAATATTATGTAGACAGAAATGTAATAAAAAATCTCAAGTGAATTGTTACAATTTTTATACTTGTTACAGTCATCTGTAATGCCATTGCGTTCTTTCTGATTTTTGGTTTGATACAATTGGATTGCAAATATGGAGGAGAAGGGAGGTATAATGTTAAATCATGAATGACAGTTTGGAAGATTTTCAGTTTTTAAAATGTCTAAATCTCACCTATTTTAGAAAAAAGGTAATATTGCTGTTATATTACATTAAGCAAAATATAGATTAAGGTAAATTGAGAAAGTCTGCAGATTTTTGTGGAAAGTAGTATTTCATTTGTCCTTTATTGGGAATAAAATGCTATTATTTTAAAAAAACTGAAAAGGATTTACTTTGAAAATTTTGGTTACTTGGCCAAAATATGTGATTTAGGACTTTGTGCAGCCAGTTTTGAAAGTGTGAATGATTAGGAGGAAACTTATTTCAAAGAATAGTATAGTAGAAGTGAGTCAATTCTTTTAGATCCTTATATTTACTTGTAACAAATGTTTTGATTTTTGTTACCTTATTAAAAAAGCAGTATTCAGCAAAAGGGAATAGAAGAAACATTGCTACCAAGGGTTAGTTTAGTTCATGCTTTTAAGCATTTGTGTGTGTGTGTGTGTGTGTGCACGTGCACGCATGATGTAGAATATTTTTAATGACTAGTAATCTTGATTTTAATCCTGTGGAGTAGAAGGTCACAGCCCGATTTGCAGGGATCCCTGTGCCAAGGGGTAGATAAAGGTCTATGGGTGGGATGCAGACAGGCATTCTATGAACTCTTTGAAATTGTATTCAAAATTGGACATATATGTAGATTTCTGGGAATGCCATCATCAAATCCCCTGAGATGGTTTGGCCCAAAAAAGATTATGAGCCTCTGCTGTCAAGAGAATAGAAGAGCAGCAATAAATAAATCATTTTAATTTTATGACCAGATTCTAAATTAACCTGCTCTCATACCTCTCTCTTGGAATTAGGAAAATGTACTTTTATTAGCTCTCAAAATGGTAAATATTGTTCCCTTAAGCATTCACTTAGCTGATAGTCTGAAATATTATATTAAAATGTCTAGTTTTGAAAGGCTTATAAATAAAATACCTCTGATTACAAATAATCAATTTTAAAGTGCCCTGTAAGCCATAAAAAATGCAAAAGACCAGTGATATATCCTCTGCCTTCGTGCCTCACTCATGCCTTAGGCATGGAGATCAGTGTGTGGCAGGTCAGGGTATGTTTATTTTTGTCTGTCAGCTGGGTTTCACTATGAGTAGAGAAATAGTTGGTAAACTTAATTTCTTAATAATTTAATGTCAGTGATATCACTGTCTGTATTTAAATGTAATTGGATAATTTATATCCAGCCATGTTCCTAGTAGGGTTTTAGACATTGGACAATAATACATGAAATACACCCAGATAGCATAATTCATATGTGAGTGAAAGACTTTTAGTTTCCTTCTCTTAACTGAGAATGGAGAGGAAGAATTCAGGAAATGAATGCCAACTAGTAAGTAGGGAGGAATTTTGTGGAAATGAAGATTTCTATGATTTGAGGGTACGGATGGGGCTGGGCAGAGGCAGAGCCAGAAGAATCCTGGTTAGTTTAACTCTGACCTGTTTGATCCCAATGTTCTTGGCTTGGGGAGTCCTTGGTGACTTGTGTGTAGGTTATCTATGTGACATTTCAAGGGGGTGGGAAGTGAGAGCTGAAATAAAGTGGTCTCAGGAATGCAGTAAAAAAACCATGCATTTAATGATACACATACCAGTTAAATTGGGTGGAAATTTTAACTCTAGGTTTTCTGCTGATTATCTTGAAATGGAAAAAACTTGCCCATTACACAATGCACACCATGTCTAGGAGATTAAAACAAGCCATTTGCTTAGGAAAAGCGCCATTCTTCTCTATCCCAAGATCAGTATGAAGTTCTCCTGGCACTCCTCCTGGAGAGTCCTGCAGTAGAGATGTTGATGGATTATGGGACGTTAGGGTTGAGTGAGGCCTGGGAAGTGATAATTTTCTATCCAGTCCTGAGTAACCACTCCATGAATGATAGGAAGTACCAAGAGGCCAAATGTAGTATGTGCCTCTCGTGTAAATCTCTCAAGTAGAGATGTGGGTAAATGTTACTAGGTTTCTCCCCATATAATGTAGGTCATTGGTTCTTTTCATAAATAAGCTTGCCAAGAAATTTCATGTGTAAATCAAATACTGTACGTCTGTTTCTGAAAGCGTTTTCCACTGAACCAATTTTCTGTATTCATTTGTTGTATTCTTTTCCTTAGCATTTGTTTATATGGTTAATATATTTTTCAGGTCTCATCCCGGTCATATATAACCGTGATAAAACTTCATCAATGCATACTTGGGGCAAATTTAAATTATCAAAATTGTCAATAAAAATTTTTTACTAGTTTGGAAATAGATCTACATGTTTGATTTCTCTTCCCTTCCTTCCTCCTTTGTTCCCTGTCTTTCTCTCCCCTTTCCTTAGAAGTTAACAGCTGTCCTCATCTTTGCCAAATTAGTGTTTGTATACTCATAAAAAAGTCACTAAGTTTTGATCTTAAAATCTTTTCTCAAGGCTGAAATTTTTGGTGATTTAATACTATAGTGTGTGTTTGTATTTGAATCATAAAAGATTGGGATTTAAAAATAATTTCTTAGCAATAGCAAATACATTATAAAATATAAACCAGTTGACAGTATGGAGAACTTTTCATTTGAAGGAAGGAACACACCTGTTTCATATTTTTAGAACACATCTACTCTATTTCAAAAATAGTTTCAAAATATTTAATGATTTTTTTGAGTCAGTTTTATTCAGGTAAAATCTACAGTAAAATTCACTTATTTTAAGAATAGAGCTCATTGAGTTTTGACAAAGGTCTACAGTGGTGTAACTAATAAACCACATGATAAGCCACTGTTATCAACATGTAACACATTTCTAGTACCCCAAAAAAGTTCCCTCACACCTCTTTGTACTTAACTGCTCTTCCCTTTGCTGGCACCCACTGGTTTCCCTAGTTTCTGTCCCTATCGTTTTACCTTTTCTAGAGTGTCATGTAAGTGAAATCATACTATGTGTAGACTTGTTTTTTTGCTTTTTTTCACTTAGAATAATGCTTTTCACACGTGCTCACTTTTACATTGAATGTGAAACATCCTTTGGATGGGTATAGCATGTGATCTTTGAGAGATCTTATGGGATCCTACACACTTCTCTGTGTTGCAGAACTCTCAGCAGCACTTTGGTGTTCTTAGGAAAGGTTATTGTGGATTGCTTTTAGGGCTCTGTTGGGGTCTCTGGAATACAAGCTCTTTATTATCCTCGCCTTCCATCCCTCTAACTTATTATTTGGTTTGGAAGAATGATTCCGAAGACCATCTTTGCTTGCTTGATCCTGTATAATATCTTAAAAAAGACCAAAAAAAAAAAAAAAAAAAAAGGCAGTTGACTTTAGTATGGCAAAGAATTGACCATGTTTTATAGACTATGGAGTGAGAGTGAGTATGAACTGTGTAGCCCCTGCAGGTACTTTGAGGTAAAATTCATTTTAAGGCACATACTTTGTACATAAGATGTGTTGTTTATGAAGTGTTTTTCAGGACTATGTAAAATATAATTCTGATAGCATATTGTAAATAAAAACTCTGAACCAATATGAAGTTCTTAATACACTGCAAATTACGTTCCTTCAGTGGTTTTCCAATTTAAATTAGCTTATGACCAGTCACCACATTGTTCAGGACCTGATTACAAATCCTTATCAAAAGAAAATGGAATAGGTACTTCTTTCTTCACTGATTTTAACTTAAAACTTAATTCATCTGGTGTTGCAGAAAGTTACAGATTTGAGAAGTTTGATAGATCCATTTGAATTGTTTATAAAAACGTTCCCATGGATTGTGCATTTGGGGACTGCCCATTGGCGCCCTTCTCTGTGTGTAGGACTTACAACATCTTGTTGTATGGACATGGCCATTATGTTAGTGTGGTACTTTTCCTCCACTCACCAGTGTTTTATTTTGTGTTGCATTATTAAGAAACAAAGGTGGGGAACTACTCTGTCTGCTGTGTGCCGAGGATTGGGATGAGTGCTTCAGGAATGATGAACTCTAGGCTGCATTATTAAGAGACATATATGGCAAAACTATGCTTCTTATTGCTATTAATATTGTAAAGAATTAACATTTCTCATGTTTTATTCCTTCCTTCCTTCCTTCCTCCCTCCCTCCCTCCCTCCCTCCCTCCCTCCCTCCTCCTCTGTTGCCCAGGCTAGAGTGCACTGGTGCAGTCTCAGTTCACTGTAACCCTTGCCTCCTGGGTTCAAGCAAATCTCATGCCTTAGCCTCCTGAGCAGCTAGCTGTAGCCATGCACCACCATGCCTGTCTAATTTTTTTTTTTTTGAGAGGGAGTCTTACTCCGTCATCCAGGCTGGAGTGCAGTGGCGTGATCTCGGCTCACTGCAACTTCTGCCTCCGGGGTTCAAGCGATTCTCCTGCCTCAGCCTCCCGAGTAGCTGGGACCATAGGTGTGTGTCACCATGCCTGGCTAATTTTTTTTGTATTTGTAGTAGAGACGGGGTTTTACCGTGGTGGTCAGGCTAGTCTCGAACTCCTGACCTTGTGATCTGTCTGTCTTGGCCTCCCAAAGTGTTGGGATTACAGGCATGAGCCACCACACTTGGCCTGTATTTTTTAGTAGAAACAGGGTTTTGCTATGTTAGACTCGTCCCAAACTCCTGGCCTCAAGTGATCCGCCCGCCTTGGCTTCCCAAAGTGGTGGGATTACAGGCGTGAGTCACCGTACCTGGCCAAATTGGTCACGTTCTTGAGTTGTTTGCATAGAGAGATCCACAGAATTAGATGTCACATTTCCAGCAGTTTCACCCCTCATTTTGGTGGTGGAGGAGTCAGACAGCATCTGCTCCTCTTCCTGTCACTCATACACATTGCATGTGCCTTCCTGGTGCCTTCTGTCTTCCTGCTGTGTTCTACCTCCATGATTCTCTGTCTTTTCCTTGTTTCTTGTTGTCTTCTTGTTTTTCCAATTCCTTCAGCACAACTCCCTTCCCTCTGAGTGAGGAAGGTGTGAGCAGTACATCAGGCATGTTCATTTTCCTCCAGTTTGCATCACTGAGTTAATGAGAGTCTGCCTCAGACAGAACTGCAGGTTTGAAGTCAGTGATGGAGAAAACTGACTCTGTCTTGGCGTATAATATACTGTTGAATGAAAGGGTTGCTGTATGTTTAACTTCCTCATGTAAAAGCCTCCTCAAAACACTTCTCCCATTCAGGCTGTTCAGGCAGGTTCTCAGACATTTGATGGGTGATGGCTGGGAAGTTCATTCAGGAGATTAGTAGCAATTAGTTTCAGATTGATCAGAAAAGAAACAAAGGTGGGGAACTACTCTGTCTGCTGTGTGCCGAGGATTGGGATGAGTGCTTCAGGAATGATGAACTCTAGGAGTCTAAAATATTCTTCTGTTAAAATGCATACTTATCTTTCCTTTTTTGTTTTTTTTCCCTGTATTTTTAGCTACAGATCCAGCATCCCACGTATTTATCTTTCCTAACTTCCCTAAATATTTTTTCCATTTATCAAATAATAGGTTGAATCCACATTTGTTTCAATTTGAAATTTATTCCTAAAGTTTAGTAATTTTACAGGTTACAAAAACAACTTATGGTAAATCTGTTTGTAAAGAAGATCAACCTTTGGTGATGTATCCTCTAATTTTTAAGAATTCTAACTCTGATTTTTAGTACAAGGGCTTTTTGGCGGAAGAGGTCAAACAGTAAGAACACTAGAACTTACACATTGAAAATCCTGTCTGATATTTTCTCTTAATTGACACAATGCCACTTACATTTATTGTTTCTTTTTAGGTTTTTTCCCAAGCAGCTCCCAAGGGTGTGATGCATTTCTTCGCCACAAGATGACTTTGATTTCTCCATCAGTATTGAAGAAATACGGTATTCCCTTCGACAAGGTATATTAGTATTCATCTTACACAAATTAATTTTGTTTGTGTAGGATTTGTATTTAAGAGATAATGTATCTTTAACTTCAAGTAGAATTTTTAGGATGTGGGTAGAGAAATTCAAATTTATGTTTTATAGCATATCAATTATTTATCTAAATCCTAATTAGAAATTAATTTTATTTCAGATATATTTACTAGAGATGTCATGTTGCTATAGTTCACTTATACTGAAAATAAAATGTAGCACATTCTATAAAATAAGAGGAAGCACTTCTATATTAAAATCTTTTTTATGAGCAACATAATTTATGTATATGTGATCTATTTTCTAAAAAATTCAAAGCAATTATTAGCAATGGGTTGGTTAGAATCAATGACTATGGTAGCACTATGTTGCTTCTAAACACATTTAGACATAATACAATTGAGATTTCATTATGGATAAAAGTGCCTGATGATTTAATAATCTGATATTGCTTCTGCAAGTTTTCTGAAGATTAGGTTCTATAAAACTCAGTAGATGCTGGATCTCGCATTCTTTGTGTCTATGGGTGGTTACTGGGTCAGAATTATTGCAGAGCCTGAACATTTTTATGTGAAGCAGCTGAAATGAAAAAAGGTTTTGACCAGATAAACAAAAGCTCCCTCTGAGTCTCGGGAGGATTAAGTACTTAGCTACTTGCAGAAACATTAAAAAATAGCTCTTCCTTCTGTGTTTTTTATTTGACTTTTCTTCCCATAATCCTTGCTGTTTTCCATCTTGGAAGCTTTTCGCTTGTGACTAAATCTTTACATTTTCTTCATTTTGGGTTCTTACTGTGGCCTTCTTTGTGTGTGTGTGTGTGTGTGTGGGAGGGGGGATTTGTTCAAAGTAGAACTTTTCCAATTGCCGGGATTCATTCTTCAGCTTGAGGTGATTCCCTGTTCCCTCCTAAACTGTCTATGCAGCAGTCACGCACAAGATATGCTTGCTTTTGGGAACGTGCGTTCATCACTGGTTTACTCACACGTTTTTACCATGAAAAAATCGTGCCTCCGAGATGTGCACCGTGGGGGCTGCCTGCGGGTGTAGGGAGGCACTGGGGATGGGCTGCAGAACTGTTGGGGACAGAGGGCACAGGCTGTGCCACTCAGAGGGGACACTGTGGCTGCAGGGCTTTGTCCTGTCTGCAGACACCTGGGCACCAGGCTTTTGTGAGTCTCAGACACATCATCATCCAGTGCTTCTTTTAAGTAGTTGGCATCAGCTTCATTAGGTACTTTTACTTAAGTTGGAATATTACAAGGTAGATGTGAAGGAGTGCAACAATATCCCCAGAGACACAAAATCCTTCTCTGTTCCTTTGGGGCTGGTGTTAGGTGTTGGTGGTAGCTTAGGGCTGATACGTGAAGAGAAGTTATGTGAAGCAGCAGGGCTCTGGGGTTGGCTCCCTTTCCCCAGGATGGAGGCCTCTGGAGCTTGGAGCTCTTTTCTAGAGGTGGCCGGCACCCTCTTTCTAGGCTGCAGCTCTCTACCAGTACTACGTGATAGATCACTGGAGGCATCGGGCTCTCATCTGGTGTTTTGTGGATGGCTTCTGTGGAAAGTGGCAAGATGAATTTAAGTCCTGAAATGGTGAAACACTAGTGGCTTTGAGGGTTGATTGGCAGTGGCACTTCCTCTTATGAAATTCTGTCACTTCCGGTTTCTATCTCAATACAGGGCCTGTCATGACACTGTATTCCTCAAGGAGCACATTTCTCTGCTGATGATAACGTAACATGTGATAGGGCAGCAAAATGGTAGCACAGGCTACAGCATTAAACCTCCTGAGTTTCATCCCTGATTCAATCACGTAATTTTTCTGAGCTTTAGTTTCTTCAACTGTAAAATGGGGATAAAAATAGTGACTACTTAATAGGGTTATTGTGATGAGAAAGACAATCTGTAGGCAGAGCTTTGCATAGTATATGTTACATAGTAATGTACTCTTCCTCTTCAACTCAGCCCTCTTCCTGTAGTTAATAATGTCTCAGTTGGATTACATTTTTTCCTTCTTTCTTTGCATTTGCCATAGTCATACATATGTATGAAAAACATAAGTGTAATAAACAGCTGATGTCTGCATTTAGATTATATCCACTCTCTTCTTCAGCTTCTTTTATGGTATGAGATTGGGACTGACCTGATTTTGGAAATGACAGGGGTCTCAAATTTAGAGTTGCATTCTGTGGAACAGGTGCCTTTTTTTTTTTTTTTTTTTTTTTTTTTTTTTTTTAAGTCATGGCATGAGCAGGATTTTTTAGGTAGGGTAGAGAAGGTTTGTAGGTAGGATTCCATGGAGCAGGAAAAGTAGTTTTCTTATTCCAGTGGCAGCAGTCCTCCCCCTCCTGTCACCTTTATGTGGGAGCAAGTTGAGTTTTGTTTCATTACGTAGTATAAGAAACAAGCACCTAGATAATTAATTAGATTCAGTGAGACCAGGACAGGAGAGAGCTGGGTTATGTTCTCACATGGCTCAGATAATGGAGCTAGAACTGTGCTGGGCACTGGTAAGCCTGTGTCTGCTGCCAGGTGACAACTGAGCTCATTGTAGCAGAACATCATCTGGGGTTTCTTTGGCAGGGGACAATGGTGTTATGAGTTACATTTCAGAATTGTTGGGAAAAAGAATACTCTCCCCTGTCTCCAGTACCATTTTAGCATCCATAACATGGCAAAGCTAATCAGTGGTGAGAGGTATCAGAAGAGTGATTATTCCTGAGGTGGGAGTAGGGGATGGGCTGGTGGTGGTCTAGGATAGGAATGAGGGAGCACTCTTGGGCGATGAAAATAATAGGGGCGTGGACAATTATCCATAGCACCATTATTCCTGGTGCCCAGAGTGGAAATGACTAAATGTCTATTGGCTGATGAATGAATAAACAAATGTGATATATTTTATATAACGGAAGATTATTCAGCCATAAAAGGGAGTGAAGTACAGATACATGCTACAACCTAGGTGAACTTTGAAAAGTTTATGCTAAGTGGAAGAATTCAGTAACAAAAGATCACAAATTATATGATTCTATTAATATTAAATGTCCAAAATAACAGATCTGTAGAAACAGAAAATAAATCAGGGTTTTTTTTAGGGCTGGGATGAATGAGGGGCTTGGGGATGACAGCTAAAGGGTGAGGGGGTTTCTTTTTGAGGTGATAAAATGTTCTAAAATTAATTGTGGTGATAGTTGCATAACTTTGTGATATACTAAAAACCAGCAAATTATACACTTGAAATGAGTGAATTATATGGTATGTGAATTACATTTCAATAAAGTTGTTACTGAAAATAAAATACTTAAAAAAATGCTATATGTAGATACAGATATTTGTCCAAAGAAACAAAATACTACAAATGTAGCTATTACTATTTCAGTGTCTTCTCCCTCCCAGAGATAAGTAATTTTCTGAGGTTGATATATTTAATAAATGTATTTCTTCCTTGGATTTTTATCATAAAAAAAGAAAATAATAGGGGCATGGGATATATGGGTATATGCATTTGTCAAAACTGATCAAACTGTACATTTACTATCTGAGCATTTTATTATATGTACATTATATCTCAAAATATAAATTGTATTAGAGTCAGTAGGATAATTAAAAGTGTGGTTTTACAACTTTTATTATCAGAGCTAGCAGAGAATACAGGCTCTGAATGTGAACATACAGCATTTGCTAAATACTTTGACAATATGTGTCAAGGAGAAACATTGCTTCAGTGGCCAAATTCTATGAGTATTTTTGTATTACTTTGCAGCAACTTAAAGAATTTAAAGATATAAGGAGTCCATCCTATTGGGTGCTGGGTTAGAAACATTTTAAGATCAGATAATCCAAAACAAATATGAACAAATTTACTTGAATAACTTGAGGATACCTTCAATTAAAATGTAATAGCTTTGATTATGGATTGTTTGATTGAATTCAAGTGCCAGCAAGCCACATCCTATCTAGGAAAGTCTTTTAAACGTTTCCTGAAAAAGCACTATTAAAGGATTAAGTAATGAATCTGGTGGAACTCTTTTTGGTATTGCTCTGATATCATGACTTTTTTTCTTTTTTTTTTAATGGCAAATATATTTTAATTGTATTCATAATTTGGGAAGTCTTATTTTTACAAAATATTATGTTTCCTACCTTGCAGATAACCCAGGAGGCTGGAGAATTCATGATCACTTTCCCATATGGCTACCATGCTGGTTTTAATCATGGTTTCAACTGTGCAGAATCTACAAATTTTGCTACTGTCAGATGGATTGACTATGGAAAAGTTGCCAAATTGGTAAGCTATGCCTCAAAAAGAAAGCATAAATTAAATGTGCATTCTGGTTATTTTAGGAGGAACCCTAAGATCCTGTGCAGCATTTATTTATTTTTCCTTACTGGCGCTGTGTGCCTCTCACCACAGCATTTCACTTCAGGCTAGATACATTTATTTTACAAAACCAGTATTACCAATTTTAGCTGAATTTGTCTGTTTTGAGATTAATGTGGAGCAGTTTACCCTGATAGGTAATTTGCTGCGATGTGTATTTGCTTTTTATCTTGAGGCCTCCAGTTGGTGTTTTGCAAGATTTTCCAGTGGCATCATGTGGCTCCATGTTAGGTAGACTCAGATCTCTCCCTGTTCGCGATCAGTTCGTGGCTTGGAAAACAACACTTTACAGAAGGGAGTGTCTGATAAAATTGTAGCAAGAGATGGAGGGAGGTTGGTAGGAAGAAATGATTAAAACTGCCCTTAGTGCAGAAATGAAATTCTTGAAAGTAATAATGTAGAACACATTTTAACAGGAAATACATGTTCATGTTAAATTTGGTATAAAATTTTGCATCTCCTGCCCAGTGTATTTAATTTAGCTCACATATTGTGTATTTTCATTCACAGGCAATAACTTCTATTAAATTTAATTACTTTCCCCCTGTGGTGTTAAATAGAAGACATCTTCAAAGTGATGGTGGTTTCTACTAGGTTTGAATCCTTTCCTGTAGCTTTTAAGGGAAAGGTGCAGGCTGGCAGAGGGCAGCTTCTAAATGAAACTGTGTGTTTTACAGAGGATGTAAAGTTGACATAGATTTAGCAGAAAATGATAAATAAAGTGTATGTGGTGCTGTTTTGGCCATTGCTTGGCTCAACTGTCTCCTTTCATTCTACGTTGATAAAACTTACATGTGGAGCCATTAGGTGAACTTAGAAGTATATTTAGGGAAGACAAATCTTAGTTTAATTTACGTGTGTATTTAGAAAATTGCGTAATATATTAAAAAATAAGTAAAAGTATAGCCCGTTGGCAGCCCAGGAGTCATTTGAATACATTCTTGACGTAAAGGAAAGCCCCTGGTATTAGAAGACTTTTTCTGTTCTAAGTAATTTCTGTTTATGCTGAGTAATTCAGAAAGGAACAGAACTGTACTACTACTTCACATTGTACATCCTGTGTATTCTAAGAAAACCTCATAAGAAATAGAAAACTCAGTGTGTACCTTGGCCAACCACTGCATTGCTTTTGTGGAAATGTAATGCTTGCATCTGCCTTGAAGCAGTGTCTTGGCCACGAGGTTATAACAAGGTCTGTTATTTTATAGTTTGCACCTTTACTTACAGATATAAGTCAGCTATCACAGCTGTTCGGAGTCACCGCAAATATTGATTCTTGTTTAATACAGGTCTCAGAAGTAGCCCATGATGTTGGCCAGAATAGGGCATTTCAGCCTTGGGGAGAAGCTAAACTACCATGTACATTGGAGTTGCATTTCCACATTTCCATGTGGAAGTAGAGTGGGTGTGGAGTGGAAGGAAGAGAGGCTGGTAGTGCTCCTCCCTGAAATCCCAGCTGACAGAGCCCATCACAGCTGTGGGAATGTGAAGTGTTGCACTGTGGGTGGAGGAGGCTGGATCTGACAACCAACTTTTCTTCTTTGGCTAGCCATGTAACCTTAGGAAAGTCATTTATTCTTCATATGTAAATTAGAAATATCTCTGTACCCTGTAGGCTTATTGCAAAGAGAAAAGAACTTAGGTATGTGACTATCTGTTTATTCAGTTTAGTAAGGGCTTTGACCGTTTTGTTTGGTTCTGGGTACAAAATATTCAATGCTGTAATGCAGTTTTGGCCAGCCAATTAAAAATTGCTGTAATTGAATGTATTTGAGATTTTTTGAGTTATGGCCACCCCTTACTTCCTTTGGCCAAGTGATGTCATCTGAGAATATATTAGTTGTCTCTTGCTGCTGTAGCAAATTACCACAAACTTTGTGTTTAGAACAATAGCCGTTTATTATCTCATGGTTCTATAGGTAATAGGCCCAGCATTGGCCTCACCAGTTAAATGTCAAGATGTTTGCAGGATTGCATTTCTTACTGAGACTCTGGGAAAGAATTCATTTCCTTGCTCCTTCGGGTTGTTGGCTGAATTCACTTCCTTGCAGTTGTAGGACTAAACGTTCAGATTTGCTGCTGACTGTGAACCAGGGGCTGAACTTTTCTCCTAGAGGCCTCTCTAGTCCTCCTGTGTAGTTCCTGCATTTCAGAGCAGGCAATCCGCAAAATCCCATGTGTCATGTAAGATAGCGTATTCATAGATCTCTGGGATTAGGATGAGGACATCTTTGTTGGGGCGCATGAGGGGAAACATCTACCTACTACAGGGGGTACCAATTTATCATTGACATAATATATTTAGAATCTGCTTTGGGCTGGGCACAGTAGCTCATTCCTGTAACTAGCACTTTGGGAGGCTGAGGCAGGAGGATTGCTAGAGGCCAGGAATTCAAGACTAGCCTTAGCAACAGAGTGAGATCTTGTCTCTACAAAAAATAAAAACAAAAATTAAGAAAAAAGAGTATTTTGAGTCATGTAACCAATTTTAGTTTTTTTGCATAAAACAGGAAAATAACCTTATAAACAGATACAGTTTTGAATGTTTCACTAAAATATCACATGCTTTCTTAATTTATACCAACAATATTAATATTTTCATGTCTATTCCTGGATAATAAATTATCTTACATTATGGTAAGCGGAGTTAGCATTTTTCCCCCCAGATTTTGGTGTCTTTAATCAGTTATTTGACACCTATTTTTGATCTCTAAGTCTGATTCATTAGGTAACCTTATGAATTTACTGTATTGCATGTATATGTACTCTCTAATCCCTGGCCAATTTGTGCACTGGGCATAAATTTATGTGTTTTGCTGGAAACTAATGTGTAGTGAATTAATGAATTGCTCTAAAAAGACTTTTAGCATTGAGGATGCCCATGTTTGTCTTAATTCTTTGTCTTCATCAGTTTGTTCTAAATGATAACTATAAAAAAGTCATTGTTCATAAGTGATAATGAACAGTACTTTTATAATTACTATGAAAATATGAGCACTTTTTCATAATAAGGCATTGGTGGTGATGTCACTTGCTTTACCTGTCACATGGGGTTTATTGAACATGTATAAGTATCTAATAAAGTATTTGTCGTACAGCATTAAATAAGCAAAACAATGCAGAGTGTGGAGTCTGCATACATTATATTACATGTGCATATATGTAATCATAAACACTATGAAATATATATATAAAAAAATATAATTTTGTGTAATACAAACCAGTATTTTTAATTAGGTGATTCAGAAAAGAGCTGTTACAGAAGGCAATTTTTTTTAATTAAAAAAAAAAAAAAAAGGTTTTGACAAGATAACCTCATGTTCCCCAATAGGGACCTTTTGATCATAAGCCAACAGGCTTTGTCAGTAGGGACCTTTTCAGATGCCTCAGATGGCTGGTAGATGGCGAAGAAGTTCTACTTACGCAGACTAGGCTTATCTGCTGTGTGCCAGGCACCATGTGTGTTTCTATGAATTCATCACTCGTGAGTGCATTGTTCCATGAGAACAGGGGTGAGAGTAAGAGCTGACTCTGGCAGGGGTTCAAGGTGTGCTTCCTTTGCTGTTGGCTTCTTGACTTCTGCTGGTGTCCCTAGAGCAGGACTGGAGAGGGGCCTTCTGTGGCTTTCATTGGAATCTGTTACTGACCTATTGATATGTGATAACTTGTTCAGGAAATCTTCCTGGCTCTTAAGATTTGGGTACATTTGATTAGAAATTTCATTATTTGTGTAAAGCTCAGATACACTTCCAAATTTTAGCAAATTCCTGGATGTTTGATATTCTCAGCTGAATTATTGTATTTGGGAGGTATTTCTGTCCCTGTAGGTAAATTCTCTGTTTTTTTAGTCTTTCAGTTCAGATGGTCCTTTTCCACAGTATCCATCCAAACTGCCTCATCTCTCAAACAGACTTTTTTTTGTGTGTATGGATTGTGTGGAAGATCTGGGGAAAATAGGCAGAGGAGGGAGTGAAGGGACATTGACCTTTTAGTTTTGGTAGCGACTTAGTTTGACCATCCCTGTTTCTAATACTCTGATAATGGCCCAGGCTTTACCATTCTTCTCATTTCTCTCTTTGCTTCTGTTTTCCCTCAGTGAGGATCATTCTGCTCTCTTGTCTTAACCTGCAAAATATAGCATAGCCAAATCCTGTAAGATGCTCCAGAACAAAAGGGCCTTTCATTTAGCAGGAACCCCTGACCTAAGAAGGCAGTGTGTTGTCTTAACCTGTAAAATACAGCATAGCCAAATCCTGTAAGATGCTCCAGAACAAAAGGGCCTTTCATTTAGCAGCAACAACTGACCTAAGAAGGCAGTGTGTAGTTTTCCCCCATTTCTCTAATCAAAGACAAGATCATTACTGAAAAAAATTGAGTGATGTTTCAGGTACCCACATGTTCATTTGCTGCTGACGGGCAGAGGTCAGATTTGGTGAGTGTCCAGTGAGTTCCTCCTGTGCTACATGTGTGTACAAAGAAGAAAGACATATATATTGTCTTCAAGGAGCTTTCAGAAAGAACAGAAGGACTTTTAATAAAACTCCACTTGCAAAGTTGTAGTATTAATGGACCATACCACCTAGTTCTTTGTTTTAGGCATCTCTGTAGCTTTGAATGCTGGCATAACAGAGTGAAATTCAATTATTTTTTCTTGATAGAGATTTAAAAATATGTAACAGCTCGTTTAGCAGTTGAAATAAGACGCTTGTACATATTTGAGATGACTGTTTTCTGTTTCTGGAGCATTCTTTCCTTCTGTGGTGAAATGAAGTCCGTGATTACTCTGTGCAGCTGCTGCCGTGACACTTACAGGTCTGCTTCCTGGCTAGGTTGGATCAAAGCGCTGGCCTGCAGGTTGTATTTCATTTTTCCGTTTGCTGGGATGAAGTGCAGTTGTTTGATGTTAG